GAATTATATGTATTAGTGTACACAGTTAAATTTGCCCCAGAGATGGCCCTAAAAACAGGACTTCTTTTCTCTCTCCTAACAGCGTCAGTTTCCCTTTCCGTTTTTTCTCCAAATCTGTTAATGTTTTCAAACATCATTCTCCCATTACCCAGGCTTGAAAACTCTGAGTGTAGTCATTTATTTATTCATTTGTTTACTTATTCACCCATTCATTTATCCAGGAAACATTTGAGTTCCTACTGTATGTAAAGTCATCATTGGTGTACCCTCTCAATAATGGTGAAGGTGATACCTACCATTTGATGAGCGCATACTCTGTGCCAGGCTCTGTGCTAAATGCTTTACTTAAACCTTATTTAATCCTCACAACATCCCTATGAGGTAGGTGTTATGCCCCCTTTTTGCAGGTGAGGTAACTGGGGCTCAGAAAGTTAAATATCTTGCCCAGGGTTATACAAGTGAGGAGATGGGAGAACCAACACCTGTATCCAGATCTGCCTGTCTCTGGAGCCCATGAGCCTACCTATGGGCACGCTGCCTCTTTCCCCTATGTCTGACTTATCACAAGGCCTTCTCAGAGCTTTTTTTTTGTACTGTTTCTGAAGAGGCCCCTTTCCTCTGCTGACTCTCTGTCTCTCAGGGCCCTGGTTCAGACCCTCCTCACCCCTGGCCTGTTGCAGCAGCCTTCATGCTGTCAGTCCTACCTTGGCCAAGTTGCTCCTGCCTCCATTCCGTGCTGCACATGCCACCAGTTTGATCTTCCTGAAATAGCTTTCATTATGCTGGTCTCTTGCTCAGGAGCTAGACTGGCTTCCTGTTACTGGACAGGTCCATCTGCCTCTGCCTGATGTTAAAGTTCCTGCCTATCCATACTTGCCTTCTCGTACATCTCAAGATTAATGTGTTTATTTATTCAATAAATATTTGACTCCATGAGCTAAGTGCCATGGGATCATAAAGAGGAGAAGTCATGGGCTCCGGCTTCAGAGGCTTATAGTTTGGTAGAAGAACTCATCTAGAATTCTTCAGTTCAGCCAAACTAAGTTCCTTCAATGTTCCCTAGTCAAGCAAAGTTATTTCTGTCTTTATTCATGTAGTGTTCACAACTTAAGTGTTTCATGGGCCTTTGCTCTCCACATATCCAAAAAACAACCCGTAATTCAGAGCACAGTCAGGTAGTCATTGTCTTTCTAGCTTAACCCTTTTCCTGTGTATAACTTCTTATTTATTGTCTAGATATTTTAAGGCTTTCATACATCTTGATGCCTTTGAATTATGGCGTTGGTGAAGAGTATTGACTATACCAGGGACTGCCAGAAGAACAAACAAATCTGACTTGGTAGAAGTATAGCCAGAGTGCCACTTGGAAGCAAGCATGGTGAGACTTCGTCTCACATACTTTGGACATGTTATCAGGAGAGACCAGTCCCTGGAGAAGGACATCGTGCTTGGTAAGGTAGAAGGTCAGTGAAAAAGAGAAAGACTCTTGATGAGATGGATTGACACAGTGGCTGCAACAATGGGCTTAAACATAGCAACGGTTGTGAGGATGGTGCAGGACCAGGCAGTGTTTTGTTCTGTCATACATAGAGTTGCTATGTATGACTTGACGTCACCTAACAACAACAATAACATGTCAGACAATTATTCATTGCACTTCTGCAGCTTCTGTACTTTTTACAACGTACTTCTATGTGCTTTATCTAATCTGAGCTTCAGAACACTAATGTAGAGACGGCAAATATTATTTCCATTTTATAGGAGAGGAAACAACCTCCAAGACTGTATATACCTGTGAGTATATCTACCTGTTGTCTATAGTCAGTGAGCTGTGAGACAGTTCTCAGTCCTGAGATCGTTTGAATCTTTGAAGATGGTGTGGTCTAGAGGCAGAGCATGGCCTTGGAAGCTTAGTGGTGCATGTGGTAACAGTGAGGGAGAGTAAAAAGCACACAGGACTGCAATTTAGGCTTTGCTTCCAGTTTTGGCTCCCCTCCTTACCTTCTGTGTAACTTCAGGGAAGTCGCTCAGTTCTGTCAGCCTCAGTTTCTTTGTCAGCATCATCCCTGGCCTGCCTCTCTCAGTGGGTGATTGTGATGTCCAAACATGATGAGGATGATGGTAATGTTGCTATTCCAAACCAGTTGCTGTCAAGTCAGTTCAACTCATAGTGACCTTATAGGACAGAGTAGACATGCCCCATAGGGTTTCCAAGGCTGTGATCTTTATAGAAGCAGACTGCCACATCTTTCTCCTGCGAAGCAGCTGGTGAGTTCAAACCACCAGCCTTTGGTTAGCAGCCGAGCGCTAAACCACTGTGCCACCAGGGCTACTTAATGTTGCTACTACCTAACTTTTATTGAGCACTTACTAAATACCAAGCACTCTCCTAAGTTTTAAATGGATTATTTCAGTTAATCCATGTAACAACTCTCTCAGATATGTTCTTAGATTGTTCCCAGTTGATAGCTGAGGAAATTGAGGCACAGACATGTTCTGTAACTAGACCAAGTTGATATAGCTAGCAAGTGGTGAAGCCAGGAATGAACATAGAATGAACATAATAAGCAGCCTGAGTCTAGAGCCGACACCCTTAACCATGCACTTACAGATGATGTGTTTTAAGGTGCCCTCTAGACTGTAAAGTGCTGTGAACATGTGAGGTCCATGCCACAAGGGCCTTGCCCATCTGACTGGGGCTGAAGGTTTGGAATCATGACCCTGCCCTCCTGTGTAATGGTGAGTAAGGAAGGGAGGGGGCAACATGGAGATTTTGCAGAGGAAGAGAGAAACAGTTTCCTAGGGGTCCGGCCAGGATTGAGCATGTGGAGAGGTGTTTTGGGCCCAGATATCTGGCTGTTGGCTGTATTGGACTAGCTGGCCTGCCTTAGATGGGGTGGACTGGGAAGTCGCTCTTCTGCTAGTGAAGCCCGTGCAGAAAAGACGGGTATCCCTGAGCCGGGGATCTGGATCCAGACTGCGCCCACTGGGGCCATAGGTCAGACTCCAGGCCAACCTAGCTGGCTACTTAGGGCAGGGACCCTGGTCTGTTGGTTCCTAGCCCCTGACACATAAATTAATAAACGATAGGTGGGTAAATGAATGAAGGGGAGATCTCTTTGGAGACCGCTCACTAGAATGCATAGTCTTTTTATATTAAAAATTTTTAATTGCAAAAATAACACATGGTTATTATAGAAAAATTTATGAAATACAGAAATATAAAAAAACAGCTTTCTCACTGTTTCTGTTAAAGAGAGCCTTAGGGTCTGAGACACTAGGAAGCAAGGCCAAGAGTACAAGGGGCAGGTGCTGAGATGGACTGGGCCTTGTGCTGCGGGGGAAAATGGGGCCGTCTGCTTTTGCCCCCGCCCTTATTCATCCAGTTGAACTCAGTACTCTTGGGGTTCAGAGCCTGGCCCCTTAGAACAGCCAGAATGGAGGAAGAGTGACTGTGGCAAGCTTTGCCATCGTGGGGGTCTGGGGTACTGGACTCGCTTTGCTATGTGCTGGAAATGGCTCCATTACTCCCCCTCCCTTTTCTGGTTACGGCCAGGACCTGGTTTCTCGGGTCCAGTGTGAGATTAAAATCTACACCTTAACCGAATGGACTTGAGCCTAGAGTTTAGAGAGGCGGAGGGAAAGAGAAAACACCAGAAAGGGGCAAGAGACCCTTATTTTGGATGCGTGGAGGCCCTAGGCAGCTGATCATTCTGAAGTGTCACTTGATGCTGTGGGCCTGCGAGGCCTCACACCCTGGGGGTGGGGGAGAAGTGATGGTAAGGGGGTGCAGACTAGGAGGTACTGTCAGGGCTATGCTCCCAGCCCTAGGACAGTGTTCTCTAGGGGTGAGTGCTGAGGGTCTGTGGTATGGGCCTAGCCCTCTGTCCCCGCTCCTCTCTTCTGGCCCAGGTGAAGTAGGGGGGCACTAGGACCCAGAGGCTAGCACGCTCCCTGACAAGTCTAGAGCAGCACTAGCGCAGAGTGAGACTCCTCAGCTGGCAAGCAGGATTCGGTGTCTCTGGGTTCAGGAATCCTCCGGCAGCAAAGGGGACTTGCACCTCAGCCCCCATCTCTGCCCCTACCCCTACCCCGGTGGCCCACCCCGTGAGGCCCATGGACTGGGGAGGGCTGGGTCTGACGGCTCCTGTGTCTGTCCATGACGGCCTGGAGCCCTGACCCTCCTGCCTAGGTTTCTGCCTTTTCTCTCTGTCCCTGGCCAGCTGGGGGAGGGGGTAGAAGCCAGGTGAGCAACATGGCCCAGAGCAAGAGGCACGTGTACAGCCGGGTAAGTGGCCCTGATCTGGGATGGTCCTGGGAGGGCTACTGGAGAGGGCCTGGGTGCCTGTGGACATCATCGCCATGGGGGCTGGGGAGGCAGGCTGGAGCTAGGCTGGGGCACTCACAGCCTGTGTTTCTAAGGAGCTCTCGCAGCCCTGATGGGGTTAGGCCGGACAGAGTTGGGCCCTAAATGGGGACTGGGTAGGCCCGGCCTTTGACTCTAATTGGACCTCAGGCCGGGGGGTTGCTGATAGGGGCCGGGCAATCCTGGGGACTTAGAATGGGTTGGTGGGTTGGAATGGCCTTACAGTGCAGCCTTTCTTTAGAGCTTCTTTGTTGTTTGCCACTTGCTCGCTCTCTCTTCTGGCCGAGCTTGAATTTGTGCCCACTGTTTGTGTCTACCTGGTTTTGAGAGGCTTATTGTAGTTGTGAGGTGGGGGTCTCTGAGTCTGGGGTTAGCCTTGCTATCACTGTCAGCTCTTTTTATTGTCTGTGAGAGCCACCCTGCTGTCCCATGTGTGATTTGGGGTCTCGGAGCCCCTGGGAGCTGTATCCTCACCTCCCTGGATGAGCTCTTTGGGAAAGGGAGTTAGGAATGACAGGGCTGGAAGGTGTCCTGGCTCTTCCCTGTCTCTGACAGGGCTCCCTTCTGAAGCCAAGTTGAGGCATCAGAAGGGAGCCCTGTGGGGTCTTTAGGACCACTGGGTCACGTTTTCATGCTTCGTTCATCTGTTTTGCTGCAAGGCTGTAGTTCATGGAGCTGCTATTGCTAAAAATGGTCTAGGTGTGATTTTCTTCTTAACCCTGGGCCTATTTGGTTCCTGATTTCACGTTGTGTCCTGTCATCACGGAGGTGTCAGAAGCTGAGCGATTCCCAAGGGCAGTATCTTAGTCTACTTGTTTGCTTGCCCATCCATGAGCCATCCATTTGGACCACTGGGCAGAGCATAGGGGACAAAGTATGGGACAGACCTGAGTTACCCGATTTACCTGGCCTTTGTTTACCTCTTATAGTCGCATAGCATGGGGGAAGGATCTCCAGAGCTTGAGGGCAGAGAGCTGATGGAACAGCTGAGAAGAAGGAGTTAAATGGTTGAATGGGGTCGGATGAGGCATCCAGCAGTGCCATGGTGGTGTGTGGAGGGAGTCAGGTCAGGGAGGAGTGCTGGTGACTTGAGGGTCTGGAGGGAGGCACAGTTGTGTGGCTGTGAAAGGGAGAGGCTTAAAAGAGCTGTGTAAAGTACAGGAAAGACAGGCAACAGTGGGGAGGAAAACAGGTTTCTGTAGGGTCACTCACTGAATTGTCTGTCTTCCCAGCTCAGGCTCCTTAGTTGGAACACTGGGTTGTGGGGAGCCTGGTCTATACTGAATTATGTGCTTGAGCTTAATTCCCCTCACTGGGGGCAGTGCTCTTGAGAAAGCAGCCATGTGGTGACATTCACAGATCTATCAGTGAATTCTGATTTTTTATAAAATTTAAATATAAACTCTTATTAAGATTTTTGGCAGATTCCAGAGTGGTTTGGAGAAATCTTGGAAGAACACATCACTGGCATTTTTCAAAGGGGAATTTGGGGCCCCCACTTCACTCTGAGAATGAGTTTCAGGGGAGTGACTTCTGGTCCTTTTAAAGTCCAGGATCCTGGCTGGGACACTCCTGATGGCATTAGGATGACACTCTTGACATGATGCCTGTAACTATGTCTGCTTGTACATGCCTTCCCTTCAGACGCCCAGCGGCAACAGGATGAGTGCAGAGGCAAGTGTCCGGCCTCTGCGAGTGGGCTCCCGTGTGGAGGTGATTGGAAAAGGCCACCGAGGCACTGTGGCTTATGTTGGAGCCACACTCTTCGCCACTGGCAAATGGGTAGGCGTGATCCTGGATGAAGCAAAGGGCAAGAATGATGGAACTGTCCAAGGCAGGAAGTACTTCACATGTGATGAAGGGCATGGCATCTTTGTGCGCCAGTCCCAGGTACCCACACTCTGCTTCTGTGTGTGTGTGCGTGCGTGCGTGCGTGCGTGTGTGTGTGTGTGTGTGTGTGCATTTGTGTGCATGAGCTCTACTGCATGTGCAGCTGGTGTGTTGGCACCCCCTTTTCCTGGGCATGGTCATTAAGCCTCTGGTTGGGAGGCAGAAAGGTAGGAGGAGGTAGGGAAGATTGGAGATCCATCCTTAGGGAAGCTGCCCTCTACTCCAGGATTGCTTGGGGATTGGGAAGGGGCCTATATTACAGCCATTCTTGATCTGGCTGTATTGAGTCTGTTCTGTGACCTCAGATCCAGGTATTTGAAGATGGAGCAGATACCACTTCCCCAGAGACACCTGATTCTTCTGCCTCAAAGGTCCTCAAAAGAGGTAACAACCACTCACTGAAGTTGCCTCCCCACATGCAGGAGTCCCCAGGCCTTCTCCAAATAACATGGAACCACGGTGGATCCTGAGATTTTTCCATGACCACCATCTTCCCTTTTTATATCGCCCCCAACCTGCCATCATGTTTTCTGACCCCATCTTTTAATACAAACTCACACTTGGTTTCTGTTTTCTTTCTACAGAGGGAACTGATGCAGCTGCAAAGACCAGCAAGCTGGTGAGTGGTTTGAGGGTGTGAGTGCGGAGTGATACAGAGGGAAAGGGAGGGGAAGGAGGAAGAGAAGAGGGAGACCTATTTAGGTAGAAGCAGTAGGTGAGTGTCAGCTGAGTTATCTTTTCAGTCTCTCCAATCCCACTGAGAAGGAAGCTTTTCCAGATAAGTTGCTGCTTTAGGGCTAGAGTAAAGATGGTAGTAGGAAGAAGCTATTAGGGTTCAGAAGTACAGGGTCAGATGGGACTGAAACTCGAGGTGATGGGAAGGATGAGTCTCATCCCAGTAGCATTGCCAGCTTCCCACATTTTGGTACTCAAGGATGCAAAGACCTAGAGGGCCTGGGGCTGGGGGCAGAGTAGGAGCTAGAAGAGGAAGGAGCTCTCCTGTTTACAAGTGAATGGCAGGGAGCCGGGCCCTCTGCTGCCTGTTTTAGGCTGTACTCAGAGGGCCCTGCGTAGCTTCCCTCTACAGCTCCACACACGGTGTGAGGTGGGGCTCCAGGCTCTCCAGCTACTCTGGGCCAGGGTATGGACATCCTGGAAGGTGACACTTGAGGGACCCCTCATCTCACTTACTCGAGGCTCCCCTGGTTACCTCCGTGTGCCCGCGTTGGTCTTAACACCTATACCCAGGAGGTCTGGCCAGCTAGCACAGTGTGACATCTGTTCTCTAACTCTGCCCTTTCCTACTCCTCATGCAGCGGGGAATGAAGCCTAAGAAGGTGGTGTGTCTACTGTTTGTGTCTGGGTGGGTGGGGACCATGAGCCCCCCCTCCAGCTGTCCTGCATGTCCTTGGGCTGCTGCATGCATGTGCGTGTAACCTTGGGGTTGGGGTGGCCAGAGGAAATGGCCTTGGCTTTCAGAGTTCCTTTGAGGGGTACAGGGACATGAGGCTCAGTGTCCAAGCCTGGGCAGCACTCAGTAGGGACAGTCTCCCATCCCCCAGGACTCTTAGTCAGAGACCTCAATATTTGAGTCTGTAAATAGCAGCTTTTACTGCTTTCTGAAATAGAGTATTTATTGGACAGTGGGTTCTCACTTAGCCTAAGCTTGGGGGGCAGTGGAAGGATAGATTGGGGACATTGACGGTAGGGAAAGTACAAAGTAAGGTGGTTGGGCAAGGAGGCGGAGGTCAGGGAGCAGCACAGGCAGAACAGTCCCAAGGTGGAAAGCCTGAGAGTCTTTGTGTGTCTTCCTGTGGTTGGGCGCTGCCATGAATGCCCATCTCCACTCTGCCCCACCAGTCCTCCCCACGACTGGTGGTGTGCCTGAGGCCCACTTCTCACTGTTTGCAGCCCTACGCCAGCCGTCATCAGAATGGACTCAACTGTATCACCCCCACTCCCCCATACTTTTAAACTCTAAGTCGCTGTCATGACCATTTCCTCACACCAGACCCTGCCCTGGGCCTCTGCTCCAGCTGTCTCTAACCTGCATGGGCCTGTCTGACCTGTATGTACTGCGCTGTATGTACAATACTGTGATTTCTGTGTCGCCAGCCTGTCTCAGCCCCTTCTGACATTGCATGGAGAGCTACTGGATTGGGGCAGTAGGAGCGGAGAGGAAAGGGTCTTTTGGACTCCTGGCTGGTGATGGGTCCTCGCTCTGAAGTCTTGTCATGGAAGAGACCACATGTTGGTACTTGCTTTGAGGTCCTGGCTCTGGGTAGAAATGGAGATGTAAGAGGGAAAATAATACCCTTAAGGATGCTGTGCCCATTCTAGGGTCATAGGAACTTCTTTCCTTGATTATTGTCTCCTGGTTGGGACTCCCATCAGACCTCAGTCCTCAGAATAGAGACAAGCATAAAACTGCAGTCTGCTATCTGTGGAGGAGTCTGGCTGCAGCCTGACCTGACCTGGCTGGGTTCTGAGCCATACCCAAATCCTGGAGCTTTGGCAGCTGCCTGGGGGAAATCTGGCAAAGCCCAGTCTAGGCTGCCCATGCTGGGATACAGCACCTTCTTTACTCAGGATGGAAAGTGTCAGTCAAGCCCCCCACTCCCCCCATCTCCCTCTTCACTGGTTCTCTCACAGCATTATCACTGAGCCCATGTGGAATAGGGAGTGAACTGCAGGAGCAAATGAACATGCTTTGAAGGAGAGGGCCCAAGAGACCCCCAGATGTCTTTGCAAAGTGCCTAGTCCTTTCTGGAAGCCCTTTAGGGACAGGCTTTAACCTGTCTATAATCAGGGGAAGGTGGGGGGAGAGGAGGCGAACACTGTCATTAGTTTGCTGCCCAGATGGAATGTTCCCAAGGGTTTCTTCATAACTCTGTGTGCTCCTCAGGCCTCATGCGGGTTGCTGGAGGGGTGCTCTGGGTATGTGTGTCTGACGAGACCAAGTGGGTGAGGGACCGGAGGGGGATTGTCAGTGTGTATGAGACAGAAGTGGAGTTGATGGAGTTGTGTGGCGGGGAGTGTATGAGAGAGCGATGGAGCAGTGAGGCCCTGTGTCCCTGCCCAGTGATGCCCTGGCCATATGGTGCCATATCTGGGATGGCCCCTGCCGCAGTGGCCTGGAGCAAGCTCTTGGGGCGGGGGTGGGGAGCCAGAACCTATTCTTGCGAGGGAGGAGCAGGGCGGGCTCTGCGCAGGGCTTTGTCCAGTAAGGAGGAGGAGGAGGAGCCAGCACAGCCAGGGCCGTTGCTAGGTGACCGCTAAGCAGTGGCTCCACCCCCACGGAGCAGAGGAGGGTGGGTGCATGACGTCAGGTAGAGCTGGTGCTGCGGCCACTGAGGCTGCCATCAGCCTAAGCGGGCGAACTGGGCCGGGCGCCTCTCCGGTGCCTGCCGGAGACTGGCTGTCACGCTACGCACCGGCGGGGCCTCTGCATCGGAGCCGCAGTCCTTTGCAGGCCGGGAAGCCGCCGTGCCGGGAAGCTGAGGCTGCATTGTGGGGATTTGATGCACTAATCTCCTGTCTCCGCCGCCTTTCCCTCTGTTCGATCTCTTTCCCTCCCTCCCTCCCTCCCTTCGTCTGTCCTTCCTCCGTGTGTTCGTCCATCCTCCTCTGTCCTTCCTTCTCTTTCCTCTCCCTGCTTTCTTTGGTTTTCTGCAATGATGAGACAGGCACCGACAGCCCGAAAGGTACTCTTCCTTGCTCTGGTCCTGCAGCCGGGTTGCCAGGGCGATGGTGGCAGCAGGCTGCTGGGGTGGGGGTGGGGGCTGATTGACTTCATCTGTCTACCTGGTTGGGGGAGGAGGGCAGGGCTGGAGGAGCGGGGGGCAAGGAGAGGTATGTGTCACCCACCATGCCCCATGCCCTGGGTAGAAGCATTTGCTCCCTGCCAGCCTCCTTTTGGCCATGGCTGTCTGAGTCTGTGTTCCGGGCCTGCACCCAGTGGCTTCACAGGCTTGGGCTTCAGGCAGCCTCAGCCACCAAGTGGCTCAGGGAGAGTTTCCTGTGGTGAAACCTGGGGAGGCAGGCCCAGGTCTCTCAGTGCCTTCCAGGCCTGCCTTACCCGACCTTTGCTGGAATGACTCTTGGTTGTTCCTCCAGTGTCCCTCCCCCACCTCCACCCTGGTGTTTGTTCAGTGGGACTCTACTAGAGTGGGATGGAGACCCTAGAGTGGGTCTGATCCAGAGCTTCCGAGGCTTAGCCTAGGGCAGGAGAGGTGGGGGTTGGTCTCCTTGGGCTCGGTGTCTTTTGGAAACAGAGTCCAAGCTGAATCTTGTTTTTGCCAGAGCAGTGGGACATTGGGTAGCAAGAATGCCCATTTGGGAGTTGGAGTTAATCATCTGTTCACTACTAGAGGTGACCTGAGGGGTTTCTGGATTTGGTTTAGAGCAGTAGGTTCTCTATGCTGCTGCCTACCCCCACCTCCTTCATGCAGCTGGGTGGGGTTACTTTGCTGAGCTCTGGGCTTCTGGCTAATGCAATATTCATGGTCCAGACACCTGAGCCCTCTGCCCTAGGGATGGAGACTGCTGCGGGATGTGGTCCTGGGGAACTGAGGGGAAGGACAGCGGCCATGCTCTGCCCTCGGGGCCTGATCTCCCCCTTCTGGGCTCCTGTCTGGCTTAGTGTTGGAGTTTCTAGGGATTCTTCTGGCGAGTCTAGCACTTGAAGGGAAGGTGGTGAACTGGGAAAGTCCTTGGGAGTGGTATGTGGGCGGGCCTCTGGCTCTGGGCTGGAGTATGAGAGGTTGTTCTCAGAAGGACTGGTCTCTGGAGACCTCCACCAGCTGCTGCCTTTGGTCTCCTGTGGCTCAGCCTAGGAGACAGGGACTTCTGGGATTTCCAGGTTGTCTGAAGGGGTGAGGTCTGGAAGGGTTGGGCAGAACTGGGAGCGGGAGCCAAAGGGAACAGGAGTTCTGGGTTCCTGGAGTAGGAATAAGGTGGCTCACTGGAGGGAGAAGGTGATGGAATGGTGTGAGGGACGCCTAACCGAAGCCCCATTTCTGTTAATACTTCTGCTCTCATTGCTGTCCCTTTTGCTGTCTATCTTTCTGCCATTATCCTTTTTTTCATGACTACCTCTTCTCTGGGTCCTGTTGCCTGTCCAGACCACAACTCGGCGGCCCAAGGTGAGAAAAAACAGGCCTCTGTGCAAGCCCCTGCTGAGCGTACATGCACATTTCAGGCATGTGCATGCATGTGTGCATGTGTATGAGCTAGTAAAAGTTGGTCACCGTGACTCCTGGGTTCTCTTGGGAGGGGGAGCACTGGAGGCAGTCACAGGCTTCTCCTGGGAAAATGACTTCAGACACTTAGGAGGTTGTCTGAGCCAGTAGCTTGAGTACAGAAGAGAGATGAGAGGGGTTGTGATTAACCAAAGCAGGCTTTCTTGAGAAAGGGAACTTTGACCAGTTTTGTGGGGAGGAAGAGAAGTGAAGAAGAATCTGGCAGCGTAAATGTCAGGGAATGAGGAGTTGGCTGTGTCTGTGTAAGACGGGTGGAGGGGGTGTCTGTGGATAGCGCATGGTGTCTGGGCGTCACCCCCGGGAGAGCTTTAGGGCTCAGCACTGCCAGAGAGAGCACTCGGCAGGCCTGTCTGCCACCCATCCCAGCCCCACAGGGGTCTAGCCACTAGAACCCCTGGAGTGCTTTGCCTGATGAGAGCACCTTTGTCTTGGGGGAAGGAGGTGACAGAAGGGTTGGCTGTACTGACCTTGCAGGTGGCACTTCTGATGGCCATTGTTTGTGATAGGGAAAGGGGAGCTTTGAGCCTTGGAAGGAAAAGGCAGGGGACTTTCAAAGTGGGGTCTAGGAAGGAGGGCTGCAACTATCACGCTGGCCTTTTTATCCATGGGGTCTCCTGAAATGAACTGCATGAGGGAGATTAAACTTGACTCCCAAAGAGTAAGGAAGGGCCCAGCAGGGGTAGAGAGCTTGACCACTCCCCACAGTCGCTTTTAGCTCAGCCTTCTCTGGGAACTGACAGCTGGAGAACAAACTCTATTCTTTCTCTCTGGGAATGACATTGAGGCACTTTTTTCTCTGTGGGAGGAGGGCACAGGCCCACAACAAGATGGGACGGTGGGTATTAAGAAATTGCTACAGTGATCACAAGTGGGTCAGGAAGGGGAGTTCTGGGGAGTAAGAGACTGATTCTGCTCTGAGAGGGTAGTGCCAGAGTTGGGAGGAATATGGGGTCCGTGCCAAAAGGAGAGCCTCATCATCTCTGTCTTCCCCCCCACCCCTTCCTCCCTCTTTCCTCTGCCTCCCTGTCCTCCCTCCCTCCTCCCCATCCTTTGTCACTATCTCACTGACTCTGTGTCCTCCCCTTCACTCTGTTTCTCTGTTCTCATTTTGCTTTGGTACTGTCTTTCTGCCTTTCCCCTTCTCTATTTTCTTCTCTTGCCATATTCTTATGTTCTCTCCTCCTCCCTTTCCCCACCCGCATCCCTCATACTCTTTCTGGTCTGCCCTGACTTCTCTGAATAGCCCACTCGCCCAGCTAGCACTGGAGTGGCTGGGGCCAGTAGCTCCCTGGGCCCCTCTGGCTCAGCATCTGCAGGTGAGCTGAGCAGCAGTGAGCCCAGCACCCCAGCTCAGACTCCACTGGCAGCACCCATCATCCCCACACCGGCCCTCACCTCTCCTGGAGCAGCCCCCCCACTTCTTTCCCCCTCCAAGGTAAGGACTGGGATTGGGGGTAAGGGACAACTGAGACACAAAGGGACCTATGATCCCTGGCTGAGTCTTAGAAATTTTCTGGGCTTAGGGGAGACCCAGAACTTGGACCAGGAAGGGTGGGGACCTAGCATGTGGGTGTCCTGCCACTGACTGTGTTACTCTCTCCTCTCCTGCCCATTTTCCACACTTTCCCCTACTTTCTGTGCCGTGGTTTCCTCTCAGATGTTTGTATGCCACTTACTTTTGACCCTGGGACTGGGGTGGCATTTGCACACATTCCTGTCCTCTGTGCTCCAGCTCAGCCTTGGTGGGGAGGGTGGCTAGGCTGTGCACAGACAGAGGGGCCTCTCTTTCACAGGAGGAGGAGGGGCTGCGGGCCCAGGTGCGGGACCTGGAGGAGAAGCTGGAGACCCTGCGTCTGAAACGGGCAGAAGACAAGGCAAAACTGAAAGAGCTGGAGAAACACAAGATTCAGCTGGAGCAGGTGCAGGAATGGAAGAGCAAAATGCAGGAGCAGCAGGCGGACCTGCAGCGGCGCCTCAAGGAGGCGCGGAAGGTGGGGTTTGGGATGAAGGGGGGTGATTGGTGAGGCTGAGGGACCGGGGAGGTGTACCAGAAACTAGACTGGAGCTGGAGCCTGGAACGTCTGTGAGGAAGGGTGGCAGGGGGCAGCTCTGTGCGTGTGCCCCCACTGACCTTCACCCCATTCTTCAGGAAGCCAAGGAGGCACTGGAGGCAAAGGAACGCTACATGGAGGAGATGGCTGACACTGCTGACGCCATCGAGATGGCCACTCTGGACAAGGAGATGGCTGAAGAGCGGGCTGAGTCCTTGCAGCAGGAGGTGGAGGCACTGAAGGAGCGCGTGGATGAGCTCACCACTGACTTGGAGATCCTCAAGGCTGAGATTGAAGAGAAGGGTAAGGGGCCAGGAGCCACTGGGGGCCAAATGGTAGGGTCAAGACCGTGTCTGAAAGTGTTAATGGTCTTCCCTAGGCTCAGATGGGGCTGCATCCAGTTACCAGCTCAAGCAGCTCGAGGAGCAGAATGCCCGCCTAAAGGATGCCCTGGTGAGGTAGGGCCCTGCTCCACTGCTTGGCTGTGGAGCTCACTCTCCTTGTCTCCAAATGTGTTAGAGCACCATCATCACCCAATGAGTGTGACACACGCTCTTCCCCTTCTCTCTGCTACCTCCCTGCAGGATGCGGGATCTTTCTTCCTCAGAGAAGCAGGAGCATGTGAAGCTCCAGAAACTCATGGAAAAGAAGAACCAAGAGTTGGAAGTTGTGAGGCAACAGCGGGAGCGTCTGCAGGAGGAGCTGAGCCAGGCAGAGAGCACCATCGATGAGCTCAAGGAGCAGGTGTGGGGAGCCCAGCCCCTGGCCCAGAGTTCTCCCACATGACTGTCCGTGATGCCTCCTCTCCTGGGCACCTTTCAGCAGCCCTTCCCCTTGTTCCCTTCCTGTAACGCAGGTGGATGCTGCTTTGGGAGCTGAGGAGATGGTGGAGATGCTGACGGACCGGAACCTGAATCTGGAAGAGAAAGTGCGGGAGTTGAGAGAGACCGTGGGGGACTTGGTAAGAGAAGCACTTCAGACCGTGATGGAGGGTGTCTAGATTTCCCACATTAGAAGGGAAAGTATTTGGAAGGGACCTGCTGAGGGACAGACTGACATATGACCCCTGACATTTGAGCAGGGGCTGTGGTTAAGTGGACCCACCTGGTCTTGCCACCCAGACCGTACCTTTCCTTTGCCCCAAACTACCTTGTGGCCTCCCAGGAAGCGATGAACGAGATGAACGATGAGCTGCAGGAGAACGCGCGTGAGACAGAACTGGAGCTGCGGGAGCAGCTGGACATGGCAGGTGCCCGGGTACGTGAGGCCCAGAAGCGTGTGGAGGCAGCCCAGGAGACAGTTGCAGACTACCAGCAAACCATCAAGAAGTACCGCCAGCTGACCGCCCACCTACAGGTGCCTGCCCACCCTGTGCTATCCAATGATCACCCCAGGGCTCGCTTGTGACCCAGCTTTGCCTCACTGCTCGTCTCTGCTCCCAGGATGTGAATCGGGAGCTGACAAATCAGCAGGAAGCATCTGTGGAAAGGCAGCAGCAGCCACCTCCGGAGACTTTTGACTTCAAAATCAAGTTTGCTGAGACTAAGGCCCATGCTAAGGTTGGGAGAGTGGGTGGGCCTGAGGGGGCAGTGCTGGGGAGCCCACCTGGTGTGGGGTTCTGGGCTTCAGATCGCTCAGGGAGGAGGTGCTTTGTGTAGTGGTTTGGAAGACTCCTGCCTGGGCTTGTCCCAGAAGCAAGGGACCTGGTGGAGCAAAGTCTGGCGGTTCTAGGGCTTTCTCCACCCTGGCTGAGAGTCCTGCTCCCTCTGCACCTCACAGGCAATTGAGATGGAGTTGAGGCAGATGGAGGTGGCCCAGGCCAACCGTCACATGTCCCTGCTGACAGCCTTCATGCCCGACAGCTTCCTTCGGCCAGGTGGGGACCATGACTGTGTCCTGGTGCTGCTGCTCATGCCCCGTCTCATTTGCAAGGTACGGTCAAACAATCACAAGTTCAAGAGAAATCTACTGAGCTTATTGTGAACCAGGCATGGAGGATGCTGATGGAAGGCAGTGGTTCAGTGTTCCCTGCCTGCAGAGAGTTTAGGATGTAGTGGAGGAACACATAGCCAACGAAGCCATCAGTGAATTTAATTTATATTACAAACCGTGTGTCCTGAAAGAGGCAGTTTCTTTGAGGGAGCACAGTTGAGGATCTAACTTAGATTGGGAGGGAGGGTCACTGCAGAAATAACATTTGAATTGAGACCCAGAAGGTGACTAGGAGTTAACCAGGGGGAATGATTGACAGGATAGCATTCTACATGGAGGGGATAATAGGAACAGCTGCTCACAGGACCCTTTCATTCCCACGTCCTAAATCCTCATGACCTCCAATAATCACACAATTACCCTTTCCCAGTGTGAGACTCCCTTCCCATCCAGGAGCTGTTTCTGTCTTTCTCCTCGTGTCCATGTCCCTCGCCCAGTTGTTAGGCTCTGTGTCCTGTTTCTGAGTCTGTGCTCCCCATGCCTCTGCTCTGAGTCCCAGGTCCCTGTTGCTTCTTCCCACAGGCAGAGCTGATCCGGAAACAGGCCCAAGAGAAGTTTGAACTAAGTGAAAAGTGTTCAGAGCGGCCCGGACTGCGAGGAGCTGCAGGGGAGCAGCTCAGCTTTGCTGCTGGGCTGGTGTACTCGCTGAGCCTGCTGCAGGCCACACTGCACCGCTACGAGCAGTGAGTGACCCCGACCCCCACACCAGGGCTGTGGGTCTCAGATGGACTGGAACTGAGATTGCCTGGCAGGCTCTGGGCCTAGGCTGACCGTGGCCTTACAGAGCCCTTCTCCGCCTCCAGTGCCCTCTGTCAGTGCGGTGTGGACGTGTATAAGAAGGTGGGCAGCCTGTACCCTGAGATGAGTGCCCACGAGCGCTCCTTGGATTTCCTCATTGAGCTGCTGCACAAGGATCAGCTGGACGAGACTGTCAATGTGGAGCCTCTCACCAAGGCCATCAAGTACTACCAGGTCTGGGGCAGGAATTCAGGCGGGGGCAGGAGGGAGCCCCTGGTGGGGGCTAGTGCCAGTGCATCCAAGTTTGTGCCCCAGACTGGCTGCTTGGGGCTTGGTGTGCTCTTAGGTGATCTTGCCTCATGACATAGTTGCTCGGGGGCCTCACATTCTCTCGCACCTCTGAAATCCTGTGCTGACTGGGCTCAAACTGTAGTTTGGGAAGAGCTCTCCTCCCACCACCTAAAGGCTGTTTCTTTGTCATCCTCCTCAGCATCTGTATAGCATCCACCTTGCCGAACAGCCTGAGGACTGTACCATGCAGCTGGCTGACCACATTAAGGTGAAGTGTCTGGGCCAAGGGTTGAGCCCCCTGTAGAGATCAGGCCCCCAAAAGGCTAGCACACAAGCCCAGGGCAGGCCCACCAAGGCCAGATCTGGGGAGCCAAAGAACCTGCTCTGATAGGGCCTGCAGAGGGTGGGGGACTTCTAAGACATGAAGATGGGGCCGAGCGGCCTGTGATGGGGGCTGATGACCACATGCTTCTGTCCTCACAGTTCACCCAGAGTGCCCTAGACTGCATGAGCGTGGAGGTGGGACGGCTGCGTGCCTTTTTGCAAGTGAGAGCACATCTAGATCTGTTTGAATGTCCTTTCTTTTCTAGACCCCACCTTGTCACCCCCGGCCTTAATGCTGACTTGGTTCCCCCACCATTTCCTATTCCCTGCATAGGGTGGGCAGGAGGCTTCAGATATCGCCCTGCTGCTCCGGGACCTGGAAACATCGTGCAGTGACATCCGCCAGTTCTGTAAGAAGATCCGAAGGCGAATGCCGGGGACGGATGCTCCTGGGATCCCAGCTGCTCTGGCCTTTGGAGCACAGGTTTAGGGCTGCAGGCGAGGAAGGGAGGGAAGCTGGGTGGAACCAGGAGGGGCCTAGCATGTCAGGATCTGGTCAGGGACCAAGAATGGTTTTGGGGTAACTGGGAGCTGGGGTGCTGGCCCCAGGGTGGTCTCCTGACTCTGGCCTGTTGCCACAGGTATCTGACACGCTCCTAGACTGTAGGAAACACCTGACGTGGGTGGTGGCCGTGCTGCAGGAGGTGGCAGCCGCTGCCGCCCAGCTCATTGCCCCGCTGGCGGAGAACGAGGGGCTGCCTGTAGCTGCCCTGGAGGAGCTGGCTTTCAAAGCAAACGAGCAGGTGGGCCTGGATGGCTGGGCAGAAGTGAGGGGAGTCAGGTGGCTGGTGTGGGGCTTTCACTACGGCCTTTGGTTCTGCAGATCTACGGGACCTCGTCCAGCAGCCCCTATGAGTGCCTGCGCCAGTCGTGCACCATCCTCATCAGTACCATGAACAAGCTGGCCACAGCCATGCAGGAGGGGGAGTACGATGCAGAGCGGCCCCCCAGCAAGGTGGGTGGGGAGCCCCAGGAGCAGACCTGCTGCTGATTGTGGGACCGCTGGGAGGTAGGAGGGAAGAATCTGGATAGCACGGTCCTGCCCAGGAGGCAAGAAAAAGATTTTCCCTATGACCACATCTCTCTGGAAAGGAGCACATTGGTGATCTCCTCTCCCCAACCCCCCCCTCTGCCCCACCCCAACACAGCCTCCCCCGGTTGAGCTGCGGGCCGCCGCCCTTCGTGCCGAGATCATGGATGCTGAAGGCCTGGGCTTGAAGCTCGAAGATCGAGAGACGGTTATCAAGGAGTTGAAGAAGTCACTCAAGATCAAGGTGAGGGGAGGGGAGGCCCAGGATCTGGGAGGCCAGGAAGTATGGTGGGATACAGGCAGCAATGAGCATTGCAGATGGGACTGCGATGGGGTCGGGGAGTGAGAGGAGTGGTGGGGCATGTGGTCGTGGGAGCTCTAGGGGAGCTCTTGGAGATCTTCGATCCCCTGTGCCGTGGGAGGACGTGAGGGAACTAGAAGCCGTCTGCCCTCATCCAGGGAGAAGAACTGAGTGAGGCCAACGTGCGGCTCAGCCTCCTGGAGAGGAAGCTGGACAGTGCTGCCAAAGATGCAGACGAGCGGATTGAGAAGGTCCAGACTCGGCTGGAGGAGACGCAGGCGCTGCTGCGGAAGAAGGAGAAGTCAGGCGCCTTCCCCGGGGCCAGGCTACCCAACTCTCCCTGCCGCTGAGGCTCTCTGCCTCCTAACCCAGCCCCTGCCCAGGCCCTCCCGCATCGAGACTCCCCCCCAGGGGAGCAGACTCTTTTGTCCTTTCCCACTGCCAACCCCATTGTGCCCCCGCCCCACTTAAGCCCATGCAGCCCTTGCCTCCTCCCCAGCAGGGCTGTTGCATGGACCTCTCAGGACTGGCCTCTGAAAAGTAGGGGTGGAACTTTGGGGAGGGGAACCCTGACGAAGCCCAGGTTCTCTTCACAGAGAGTTTGAAGAGACGATGGATGCTCTCCAGGCTGACATCGACCAGCTGGAGGCAGAGAAGGCAGAGCTAAAGCAGCGGCTAAACAGCCAATCCAAGCGTACCATCGAGGGGCTCCGGGGGCCCCCTCCCTCGGGCATTGCCACCCTTGTTTCTGGCGTCGCTGGTGGTGAGTACAGAGGGCCAGGCAGCACTGGCCCAGAGCAGAGTGAATGGCCCTCCTATCATGGCCTCCATTTGACTTCTGCCCCCTCTCGCTGCGCCCCGGACGTTCACCAGGAATGTGCTTGCTCATTGTCAGTCACTTTGTGCCAGCTTTCACCATGTCTCACCCTCGCACTCTGACCACAGCAGGGCGTTACCAGGTTGTCAAGAAGCTCAGAATAATGACAAAGTGAGACCCTGGTTAGATATCCCAAAGGGTTAGCAGCTGGACTCCCTCTGCTGGGGCACCCACCTTGCCTGACACCTGTTCATGATTGCTGCTCTGCTCAGCCTCTGCATTTTCCCCACGGAATTCACGTGGCTTCCCCTGAGCTGTGGGTACCCCCATCCTCTACCTCTCCCTGCACTTATGGCACTTCCCCTAAGCTGTGGGTACCCCCATCCTCTAGTTCTCCCTGCGCTTAAAGCACTTCGCCTAAGCTGTGGGTACCCCCAGCCTCTGCTCTCCCTGCGCTTATAGCACCTCCCCTAAGCTGTGGGTACTCCCATCCTCTGCTCTCCCTGTGCTTATAGCACCTCCCGTGAGCTGTGGGTACCCCCATCCTCTGCTCTCCCTGCACTTATAGCACCTCCCGTGAGCTGTGGGTACCCCCATCCTCTGCTCTCCCTGCTCTTATAGCACCTCCTTTAAACTGTGGGTACCCCCATCCTCTTGCCCTCCCTGCGTTGAAGCACCTGGTCTCTGGAGGAGAGCAGCTTTGTTCAGTCTGGGCTTTAGGTTATAGGCCCAGGAACCCTGACCCTCTCCATGCTGAATTCTCCCAGTTTCATGTGGGGCTTGTGCCCTGACTTCTGCCTGTGCCCAGTGTGGTCAGGATTCCTTGCCAGGAGCTTTTCTGGCTTTAGGGCTCAGTCTCCCTAGTTTTCTTGACCACAGAGGTGACCACTGCCTACTTGGTTCTCATGTGCCCTGTAGTTTGTTTTTTGTTCTCTTCCGTTTCTTACTTCCCCTTCCCACTTCCAGAAGACAAACTCCTTGCCCTGGAATGAAACCCTCAAGGTGTCTAGACTGGCCCTGTTGCTCCTGTGTCTGGTCAGCTGTCCTCACTTGGGCTCTTGTTCTCAGTAAAGCCCCCTGATCTCAGGAGGTGACCGAGTACCTTGGCTTTAGGCTCCCGAGGTACAGACAGCTCGGTGTTCCTCAGGGCAGTCTCCAGAATCACCACATTCTATTGTTTTAGCACAGGCTGTAAACACTGGTTCTGAATATACGGAACTTTGAGGCCTTTGGCCTCAGGGCAGTGGGAAACCTGAGGGCAAGGGAATGCATCTGCATCCTCAACTTAAACTTCGCCGGTGGTGAACACTGAAGGTGCAGACAGGTTAGGTTCTCTGGAGCCGTCCATGCCCTTCTTGGAGATGGAGTGTGAGGCAGGGAGGCGGGAGCAGCCTCAGGCCTGCGTGCTTTCTCCAGCGCACACACCCAGCTGCCAGTATTCTCCACAGTTCTCCCAGTCTCTTGGCCTCACGCCTCTTCCTGTTTTTCACCCGTATCTGCTCTCCCCTAAATGTGAGTGCAGGGAAAGGGTCTCATTAGAGAAGGTGGTGTGATGATCCTGAAAGGGTTTTCCTGTGGATGGCATCCAGGATTCCTCTGGTGTGTTCCCCTTCCCCCTAAATGACCTAACTCCTCTCTCCTCTCTCCCTGCTTTCCCATGGTCTCTCTTGAGCACAGAAGAACAGCAGCGAGGTAGAGACCCACCCTGGCTGTGGTTGCCAGGGCTGCTGGGAATCAGGGCGGGAGAGTGACCACGCCTGGAGGTGGAGGAACTTAGTATTGGAGGGGAGGCTGAGGAGAGGGGAGGAACCATGGCGGGGCCCACCTTTGACCCTCTCCATCGGGGCTGATGACAGTGGTTGTGGCTCCTACAGCAGGACCCCCTGGGCAGCCTCTGGGCTCTGTGGCAGGCCCGGAGCTAGTGAAGGACTCACCACTGCTGCTTCAGCAAATCTCTGCCATGAGGCTGCACATCTCCCAGCTCCAGCATGAGAACAGCATCCTCAAGGTGAGGGGGCCACAGGGCGGGTGGGATGGGAGCTGAGCATACCTGCCCGTTGGAGACAGATGGCAGGGGCCTTCTATCACTTCTGTCACCACCCCTCTTTTCTCCCTAACAGGGAGCCCAGATGAAGGCAGCCTTGTCAGCCCTACCCCCTCTGCATGTGGCAAAGGTGTCACTCCCATCTCGCGAGGGCCCTGGCAGTGATGTAGCAGCTGGAGCATTGTATCATAAGACTAGCCAGCTGCTGGAGACGTTGAATCAGCTGAGCACGCACACCCACGTGGTAGACATCACTCGCAGCAGCCCCGGTAGGGACCCGCTAGCTTCTGAGATAAATAACACACCCCGTCCCTCTGCCCACTCCAGGCTTTAGCCCCTACCCACACAGTCCCCACACCATAGAAGCTCTTTCTGCAGTGTTCTTTGGCCTCAGTGTTGAGTTTGCTTGAGTCACCTACTCTCTCTGAAGTGCTCCTCCCAGAGAGGGCCCAGGACCTGCACTCCTGACCCTTAATCCCATTTAGCTGCCTGCCTCAGCCTTGGTGGGCCTCACCAGCCTTCCCCTCCTAACAGCTGCCAAGAGCCCGTCGGCCCAGCTCCTGGAGCAGGTGGCTCAGCTCAAGTCCCTGAGCGACACCATCGAGAAGCTCAAGGTCAGCTCAGACCCTGCGCTTCCTGGCCCTACAGAGCGGGCTGTGGAGCACTCCCTGGTGGAGCCCTTAGCACAGTTGTTTCCACAGGCACTTCCAGGATTCTCTGGGCCCAGCCCTGTGCTAGCGGACACGTTGGGGAGGAGGTGGAAGGGAAGGCAGCATTCCTGCCTTGGGAGCTCACAGTCTAGGCGCAAACAGAAGACAAGTTCTCGTCAACCGAACGAAATGAGATAGGGTCATTGTAGAGTATGTGGCGTAGGCCGCAGCTTCTGTCAGAGCCGAGATCACTGTTGGGGGGATGGGGGGATGGCTTCCCAAAGGCTGAGGAGTCTGAGTTGGGCCTTAAAGGGTAAGAAGGATTTGTAAAGTAAGGAGGGATGTTGGGTTGGTTTTTGGGGTTGGAGGTGAGAACAAAAGTGTGGGGATAGAGAGGGATGAGTCATTGCTCCCCTGGCGTTTGTGCTTTTTGAGATCGGAGAGTATTGTGTTAGCTGTGGGAGTCCTCTTGATGAACCCTTGGTTCTCTCTTCCCCTCAGGATGAGGTCTTCAGGGAGACAGTATCTCAGCGCCCTGGAGCCACAGTCCCCACTGACTTTGCCACCTTCCCTTCCTCAGCCTTCCTCAGGGTAAGAGAGTGCATGCGGGAGGGGGATAGGACAGTATGGAGGGCTCAGGTGGCTCCTCCCAGCCTTCCCCCACAGATTTGAAGGGGCCCCTGGGGGCTCAGGCCCAACAACTGCACACCCTGAGTTAATTGGCTAGGTCTTACTTGCAGATAACTAAAAAATGTGTGCAATGCCTCTAGAAATTCCAATATTTTAGCATCTAAACATCTTCCATGACTTGACACCAAGAGAATCCCAAAACTCTCTTGTTAGACTATATACTGAAAACTCTCTTGTTAGACTATATACCCCAGTTTTGATTGGAAAATGTGGTCACCATAGCCTAGGAACCCAAAAGCCACAGTCTCCCAGGACTGCCTTGGCCTCAGTGCCCAAAGTCCCCAGCAGTGGCCCATAGCTTGAGTGGCTCCCTGACCTGGGGTCCTATTCCCCTCGTATCCCCCCAGGCCAAGGAGGAGCAGCAGGAAGACACAGTCTACGTGGGCAAAGTGACCTTCTCGTGTGCGGCTGGCCTTGGACAGCGACACCGGCTGGTGCTAACCCAGGAGCAGCTGTGCCAGCTTCACAGCCGCCTCATCTCCTGAGCACTTCGGCCCCTGCTGTCCCCTTCTCAGCCCTCCTGGTGCCACTCTGCCCAGTGCACAGCCACCTCAGCCAGCCCCAGGTAGAACTATGTGTCTCAAGCTGTTCCTGTCCCATTTACCTTCACCCCATCCTGGCAGTGCTCCTATCCCAGGTTCCCCCATTCCCTGGCTTCTGCCAGAATTTGCTGTTCAGCTGCTCCCTCCTACCTGAGGGGCCTCAGGGCATGTGGGGGGCAGGCTGAGGCCCCACCACCAAAGGTTGAGTGAGGTCCCCCTGACTGAGGACTTCACCCTTTGATTAAAGCAACTTCTGCTTCAGTGCTTCCTGTGTGGTGTTGGGAGTGGGACTCGGGCCATCTGGCTCAGGGCCGGAGTGGAGGAGAAGGGATGCTGAGAAAGCTTTGGCTGGGTCACATTTGAGAGCCCTTCTCTGTACTGGCCAGTAGAATGCTGTGTCCCTTAAAATCATGTGCAGCAAATGACTCTGAGCAAGGGGAAAGGGCTAGCCCAAGGGCTAGGCGCCTACGTTCGTTTGTGGAGTTAGGAGGGCTGGAGACTGTGTCGCCTCTGCCAGCTTCACCTCTGCTGCCTGGATTGACCACTCTTCTTCAGTCCACTTTTTGGAGCTCGGGTCATGATGCGATCACCACCCCCAGTGACTTTCTGCCACACTGACCAGAGTCATCACACAAGACCTGGGGCCCCTTAGAAAGAACCTTTACTAAACAGCACAGGAAAGCCAAAGCAGAAGACCAATGAGAAGGGATAGAAGGTACAAAAGCTGTTACCAAACCCTGCTATAAATTAGTTTCACCTGAGGAGCTGCTTCGGTTTCCTCCCCCCCCCGCCTCTGGTCTGTTCTCAACTGCAGATGGGAATAGTACCTTACAAGGTTGTTGGGAAGGCTTAGTGAGATAATGCGTGTCAGCACCAAGGTGTCAGCATCGAGCACAGTGCCCGGCGCATAGTAGGCTTTCTTCTCTTCAGTACATGCTCCTGCTGCACTGCTTTATATCATGAAGTATCTGTTTCCATTGGAATTGTTAGCTTATCTGTCTCCCCTTTTAGACACACTGAGAGTTCTTTCAGGGTATCTTCCATCTCTGTCTCCCCAAAAGCACAGGGAAATGGCTATGTTTGAGAGAACAGTGAGTTTCCATTTTGGACATGAGTTTGAGGTGCCTGGGAGAGAGCCTCATTGGCAGTTGGATCCGCTTGGAACTGGAGCTCAGCAGAGGAGCCTTAAAATCTCCCTCCTCCCCCACCATACGCACATTTTAAATGACCGTAATTGTACCCATACAGCATTTGCTTTATGTACATACATAATTATTGTTTTCAGAATACAAAGAACACACCATGGAGGAGGAGTGAGCACATAGGCTCTCAGTACTTAGTCACTAGTGATTATATGGATTTTCCTTTTAGGATTTTCCATTAGGATTTAAAGATGTCCTACCACGGCCCTGCAAGAATAGAACTGCCTGGGAGGGCAGTGTAATGAAAAAAAATGGGGACCCAAAGTTAGGAAGTGAGAAGACAGAAGTCAAGGAGAGAGAATATGTTTTGAAACTAGATAAAATAAGGATTTCCTTTATCCAGAGTGTAGGCATCCAAATAGGTGCTAAGGAAAGAAATTCTACCCTCTCATTTCTTCCTCAACAAACCAAGTAGATGCTGCCTGCTCATCTGAGAAGGGGAGCTCCCTCTGCAGCATTGTCTGAGCAAAGGTGGGGGAGAGGGAGAGGAAAGTGGTGGGAGAACAACCTGCTTTTGAGCTACTCTGGGTGCTTGGTGTCAAAGCCTTCACTTTGGGGAAACTGTCAGATAGCTGAAGCTGTGACTCTCCAACTTCATAAATGATGATAGATGTAGTAGCAGCTTTTTACTGAAGAGCTCCATGGGTTGAAAAAGAAATGTTTATGGAAAGGGACCAGGCAGATACCCAGGCAGCAAAGCAACATGGATACTGAACAAGAGCCAAGGGCTTTCACACTGCTCTGCCCCACAGTCCAGGTTAAAAACTCTAAATCCTTTGACTTTAGGTTAAATATGGGGCAAATACAAAGTAATGCCTTGCTTTAAAAGCAGCAACTGGATGGAGCCTCGAGAAGATAAACACTTCTCTAGATTATAACTTAGAACAGCTCCTTGAACTTCCTTCATCCAAGCCATACCTGCTGGTCAAAGATATTGCACTTTTCAGCAAACAGAAAAGAACAGTGGAGGTGTCACCAACACAACCCTCTTAACACTAAGGCCAGTGTGTCCATTTTCAGAGACTTGGCATAGTGGAGAAGGAAGTAGCAAGGATTCTGTGCCCCCCCGCCCCGCCCCGCCCCGAAATTGCTGCTGTATGGGACTTCACACAGAAGCACACAAGGAAATAAGTCGAGGAATTTGAAAAGTGGAGAAGAATTTTACAGATACTAGAGACCATTTCCTCCTCAAATAGACTGACCTTTTCAGCCCTGCAATAGTCAGCCACAAGTATGATACAAAAAAAAAACCCGAAAACCGATTGCCATTGAGTCAATTCCAATTCACAGCGACCCTACAGGACAGAGTAGAGCTGCCCCATAGGGTTTCCAAGGAGTGGCTGGTGGATTCAAACTGCCAACCTTTTGGTTAGTAGCCAAACGCTCAACCACTGCGCCACCGGGGCTCCATACAAGTATGATAAGACCCGTCTTTCCCACCTTGTTAATGAGCAGGCGGCACTCTCTTGGCTGCACAGCACGTAACCACAAAGGGGAGTGACATAGCCAGCTTGAATGGCATGGGGAAGCTACGAAAAAGATTTTACTTCTGGGGAGGGAAGCAGTTTCCAACTTCTCTTGAAAATTGATACCCTCAAGGTCACTTTCATGCTTCAAGTCAGTCCTGATGTCCTGCCAGTGCTGTACATAGTAGGATGGCTGTGGTGCCAGGTTTGGAACAGCTAGATGCAGTGCTAAAGTCTCCCAAGTTATTGCTCACAGAGCTGGTGCTGGTGCCATGAAAGGAGCAGGCGAATCCCTGCTTAAAAAGATACCTGCATCACTGCCTCCATGGTTAGATTTGGCATAGGTGGTGGGGTTATGTGATTGCTGATGGCAGAAGCAGAGAGTGGTAGAGGAATAGTGACTTCTCCAGATGGGAGTATGAGTACACTTAGGTCCACAGTCCCTGTGATCCTGGGCTTGCAAATACCTCTCTTCTTGGTCATAATGGTCCCATTACTCAACTTGATGATCTGTCCTCCCTTGAAGCCCAGGTACAACTTGGGATGAGTGTCCATTTCCTGAGATTCTATGGGTATCTTGGATACCTGCTTTACCCACTTGAAGTGATCTTGTAAAAAGATATTAGAGTTAAAGACATCACCCTAATTTATGAAGCCAGTGACAAGGAAAGCACTATGCCTAGTGCCATCCTGGATTCAGCTTACAAAATAGAAGCTGAAGTCTGTCACTGTCTCAGCAATGCCAGGATATTGTTCTACTGGTGCTTGAGCAAAGAGCTCCCTTGATATTTTATATTTGAGGTTCATATATGCCGTCTCCCCTTTTGAAGTGGTTTGGAGGTGACCAGTCCAATGAGGCTGGCCTGGTCATCCTAGTCTGGGATTGGTCATCCTGGCAGCAATCAAGGCCAACTCAAGCAGTTGATCAGAAACCAACAGGTGGAAATTAAATTTTGTCACTACATCTGAAATCATGGAGTAAACACAACTTGCCTGCCAAATTGTGAAATCAAACTGTTTTCCAAAGTCCCAGTGAACAAAATCCAAGACAAATAGCTTTTTAACCCATCTTTTTTTGTGTGTGTGTGAAAAAGAAAACAAAGAAAAGACTGTATGCATTTGTTAAAACCTATAGAACTGAACATAAAAAAAAGAATTTTACTGTATACAAATTTCAAAAAGTGAATTTAAAAAAAGAACAACAAAGAACACTTACATTAACAAAATGATAAGCCATGACCACAACTTGTTAGACAATGTTTTCCTGCATATTAACACAGTGGTATTGGAAATTCACTTTTCAGTGGAGGAAGAATGCTCATTTCCTATTTTAAGAAGTAGGTATTTGGGATCCTATTATAAATAAAGATACACTGTCTGAAAAAGTATCATGCCCCGCCCTCCCCCAGGGCCAAGTGGGAGACAGAGTCACCAAAGGTGCTAAGGCCAGAATTTACTTGTCCATTCTGCTCTTGATGGACATTAGGTTTGCTTCCAGGTTCAAGCACCTACAAATTATGCTATATAAACATCCTTTTTCATCTTCCCTGGTAACCAGTTGCCACTGAGTTGACCCTGACTCATGGCGACCCCATGTGTGTCACAGTAGAACTGTACTCTATAAGGTTTTCAATGGCTGATATTTTTCATGAGTAAATTGCCTGTGAGTGACCTAGAACTTTTAATCTTTCGGTTAGCAGCCGAGCGCGTTAACTGTTTGCACTACCCAGGTACACATATGCAAAAGTTTTTATAGGAGTGAAATTGCTGAGTCATAGGGTGTGTGTATTTTCATCTTTTTGAAATAATACTATCTTGCTTTGGAACAGTGCTGTACTGCTTTACACTCCCACCAGCAGGATGGGTCCCTGTCTCAGTTACCTAGTGTTGCTGTAACATAAATAACAAAAGCAGGTGACTTTATTTTCTAACAGTTCTGGAGGCAGAAAGTCCAAATTATGGTCTCAGCCATATTGATTCCTTCCCTGTCGGTAGCCCCAGGCATTCCTTGGTTCCTTGGCTATTCCTGGCTTGTAGTGTAGATGATCCTCACATGGTGTCTGTCTTCTCTCTTGTGTGCATCTCTGTTTCTCTTCTGGTCTTTTTGTTGTTGTAGAATTTATTGTATTTGTTGTTGGGAATATACATATACATAGCAAAACATACGCCAATTCAATAGTTTCTACATGTACAATTCAGTAACATTGATTACATTCTTCAAGTTCTGCAACTATTCTGACCCTGCTTTTCTGAGTTGTTCCTCCCCCATGTATGCTGAGCAAATAATCCAAGAAGTTGGACTGTCTGAAGAACGGGGCATCAGGATTGGAGGAAGACTTATTAGCAACCTGCGTTATGCAGATGACACAACCTTGCTTGCTGAAAGTGAGGAGGACTTGAAGCACTTACTGATGAAGATCAAAGACTACAGCCTTCAGTTTGGATTACACCTCAACATAAAGAAAACAAAAAATCCTCACAAATGGACCAATAAGCAACATCATGATAAACAGAAAAGATTGAAGTTGTCAAGGATTTCATTTTACTTGGATCCACAAT